CAGCAGCAACAACAACAACAACATCAACATCACCAGCAACAACAACAACAACAACATCACCAGCAACAACAACAACAAAAATATTATTAACCTTAATGTGATATACAATCGGTAGAAAATAAAATGAAATAGAATGACAATAACAGCTTACAATACAACAACAATAACAATAATAATAATGCGAAATTGTGGCGATTGTGGTGATGATGACGATAGCGTTTTTGAATTTACCGCCTGTATATATTTATATATTCGAATGAACATTCCTATATTTATATATTCGAATGAACATTCCTATATTTATATATTCGAATGAACATTCCTATATTTATATATTCGAATGAACATTCCTATATTTATATATTCGAATGAACATTCCTATATTTATATATTCGAATGAACATTCCTATATTTATATATTCGAATGAACATTCCTATATTTATATATTCGAATGAACATTCCTATATTTATATATTCGAATGAACATTCCTATATTTATATATTCGAATGAACATTCCTATATTTATATATTCGAATGAACATTCCTATGTATGTCTATTCTGTTATATGTATGTATGTTTGCTATTATGTATGTATGTGTGTATGTATGTATCAAATCAAATCAAATCAAACATTGTATTTATATAGCGCCAATTATAATTGTTTCTCATCAGCGCTTTCCTCGTATGAAGCATGTTGAAAGCGAAGCCATCATCGGTTGAGATCACTAGGAGTTACCAAATAGGTATGTCTTCAGACGTTTTCTAAACTCAGCTAATGGATTCATGTATGTATGTATGTACGTATGTTTGTTTGTATGTATGTATGTGTGTATGCATGTATGTATGTATGCGATGCTTGGTACGTGTTGTTCTGTATAAAGGAAGCATAGGAAGGAGTATAGAATTTGTTATAAAGATATGGCAGTCGAAACATATATAAGGTGACGAGATTTTAAATTTTCGTTGTTTTTAGTTTTATTCAGTTTTTAAGCTCTTGGTTTTTAGCTCTAGATTATAGTCACTTGGATTTTAGTCTGCAGGTTCGATTTGTGATATTTTGCGAGTTAATTTTAATATTTTGCGATTTTGAATGTTATTATCTTGAATTCGTATCTAAAGACGAAGCATTGATTTTTTACTGTATTGTTTATACTAAATAAAAAAATATACACTTTAGATTTGGCTCGGCTTAATTATTTTTGCATAAAATAATGAATGTTGAAGAAGAAATACTGATAGTTGGCGAGGCCGGCGTTTCTAGTCAACAATTATGGCGCGAACAAATTTTCGCCCGGCACTTGTTTTTAGACCCTGAGAGGGTCTTTTGTAGAGTGGGGGCTCCGAAGAAAATAATAATAATAATAATAATATTAATATTAATAATATTATTTGTAATAATAATGTTAATAATAATAATAATAAAGTTCATCATCATCATGACAACCTATGATGTCATCGGCCCCTATCAGGTCCCAGTCGTACACCTGCACCCTCAAAAGGGAGTCCTGGGGAAAGATGGCCTCCACTTCGAAACATCTGAGTGGATGAATAAAGGGATGGTTGGATGAGTTGATGAATGGATGGATGGTTAGTTGAATGAATGGATGGATGAATGAATATATGAATGAATTAAAAAATGAATGAATGAATGAATGGATAGATAAATAAATAGATAAACGAATGGTTAAATAAATAAATGGATGGATGGATGAATCAATGAATAAATAAATGAATGAATGAATGAATGAATGAATGAATGAATGAATGAATGAATGAATGAATGAATGAATGAATGAATGAATGAATGAATGAATGAATGAATGAATAAAAAAATGAATGAATGAATGGATTGATGTATGGATGAATGAATGAATGAATGAATGAATGAATGAATGAATGAATGAATGAATGAATGAATGAATGAATGAATGAATGAATGAACGATTAAATGAATAGATAGTAAGATGAATGAATTAAGGAACAAACAAATGAACAAAATCAAATGAACTAGGGCGGCGTGATGGCTCAATGGTTAAAGGCGCCTGACTGGGTTCGAATGCAAAAAGATCCCCGCCTATCATATGCAATGTGTATGATGCGTGGTTTGCACGCGTATTCATGTACGCTGTGTGTGTTTGTCGTTGAAACCTCTGAAGCAAGCGCATAAGAGAGAGATTAACCTTTAACTTTTACCGAAGTAAAACTGTCAGAAAATGAATAAGTGATTAATTCGATTAGTAATTGAATAATCAGGTCAGTATTATCAACCATGGCCTACTTTCCAAAGACAGGGTTCAACTGTTTTGAAATATAATTCTCCTTATCATTTATGGTCGTCTGACCTAATTTTATGACGATATATGGATCGGCCTTGCCGTTGATGTCGGCGGGGTGAAGGTCAATGGCCTGGTTTCATAATTATTCATAATCATTACAACACAACAACAACAGTTATTATTATTAATGAGGAGTGCACTGAATGGTGGTCTCATTCGGTCGAAACCGATAACCAAAAAAGGAAAAAACTTGGAAGAAACAAATATTTTTTTAGAGTGAAAAACAAGTCAAAAAATTAGTCAATTCTATCCTATTCTTCAATAAGGTAATTTGGGAACTCTTGCACAATTTACAAATTTTTGTTCTGGAAGCAAAAATGTTCAACTTTGGCCTTTAAAAATCGCCGAAACCGAACATCAAATTTCGGTCAAATACTCGGCGCGTTTTTATTACTAAATATAAAATTTTTAGATCATTATTGATTATAATTGTAATGGTTTCAATTTCACTAAAATCTTTGATTCTAGCAGGGCTTCGAACCGGAACAGAACCGAAACCGAAAACCGGAAAAAACCGATATTTTAGCCGGAACGAAACTCGAAACTGAACCGAAATATTTTTTGCTTGCCGAACCGAAACCGAAAACCGGAACGAAAAAAATAACGTTCAGGTTCGAAGCCGTTAATATATTTTTTATAACGAGCACTTCTATAAATAGAAGACATTTTATTAATTAGAGGAAATTTTCATCTGTTTTAGTCATTGTATATAAATTTATATTTTTGTTTCCTGAAAAATGTAATGCATTTTTATACTTTGTTTCCATTTGCTGGCTAAAAAAATATTTGAACACATTTTTTTGTATATTTAGAAACTTAAAAAATTCATGACTAATAGTTTCTTAAGGAGTCGAAATTTAATTAACAATGATATGTCAATAACTAGAATATCCGATACACGCGATACAGGCAACATTTACAAAAACGCAATTAAATATAATTAATTAAATATATTTGCCCGCAAATTTATTAGCGCGCTCCACCACGTAATGTCAAAGAAATTCACTTTTCATTTCTTGTCTGGAAGATAATTAATTGTTTTTCGCTAAGTTTTGTGATTATTGCATTCAGAATTATTTGTTAATGAATTGTTAATTTAAAATTTTTTATTAAAATTTAAAATTAATTTAGCTTCTTATCAATAATTTTACATCATTTTATAAGTGTTCTTTACTTTGCTTTACAAATTTGCGCCAGTAGGATTGTGATGACCATTTACAAAATTTAATAACTTTGATGGGCAAAAACGTTTCCCGGAACTGAACCGATAACCGGAACCGAACCGAACCGAAATTTTATCTGGAACGAAAACCGGAACTGAACCGAAATATATTTTGTTAGTCGAACCGAAACCGAAAACCGGAACGAAAAAAATTACGGTTCGAAGCCCTGGATTCTAGTATGTCTCTTTCTTCTCAGATTAATAGTGTTGCTAGAAGTTCTTACTTTCATCTACGTAGATTAAAAAAAAATTTTGCCTTTTCTTCATGATCCTACTCTTCTCCTTCTTGTTACTTCTTTAGTTTTATCTGGGATTGATTATTGTAACTCGCTCTACTATGGTCTTCCTGACTCTATACTCTATCCTTTAAGTAAAGCTTTTAACTCTGCTGCTCTTCTAGTTGCTCGTGCCCCTTTCTTTTTTCATTTATCTCCATATCTTGTTCTCTTACACAGGCTACCTATAAAATATAGAATAATTTTTAAAATTTGCACATTCATGTATTAGTCTCAATCTAAATTATTTCCTAAGTACTTATCAGATATATAAATATTACTATCGTCTTCTTGTTCTCGCTTCTTCTTAACTCGTGTTAAACACTCTTTTGCTAAATCTGCTTTTGCCTTTTTTGGCCCTTTTCTCTGGAACTCTCTACCTACTTCTCTGACTACTTCTCCATCACTTACAAAGTTCAGAGCGGATCTCAAGACCTATTTGTTAGCAAAATTCATTGAGGAGCGCTGTTGAACATCGCGTAAATAGCGTTTTGCAAGCTAATTGATTGGCTGATTAAAAATAACCACATTTAATGATTCGCAGCTTTTATTAAATTTTTATAAATATTCGCTAAAATTTCAATTTTTACCGTTTTTCGTTTAACAGCAGTTTGCAAGACTTACAGAGGCAGAAGTTGCTGTCCCCAAATTAGACATTCCCTGTCTACTGCCTGACCACACGCAAACAACACTACAAACCTCCACCCCAAATCTTACAGTCCCCACAGACTCCACCAACCTTGACAACGTAAACCCTCACTAGAACGTGCAAGGGCTCATTGGAGGGAAGACACTGAAACAAAGAATTACTAGGCGCTCCCCCGTCTTCGAAATTACTTCCGTTTCCGGTTTCCAGCATGATAGCGTTGTTGTTGTTATTATTAATTAGTGTTTTTGTTGTTGTCGTCGCTGAAGATTGTTGTTGTTGTTGTTGTTGAGGTGGTGGTGGTGGGGAGGTTGCTGTCGTCTGATTGGTTCGGTAGATTTTAAGGTTGCCCTGCTTGATTATAATGAGGATGGTGGTGACATGATGAGGATGACAATGATGATGATGATGACAATGATGATGGTAGCAGTGACAATAATGATGATAATGAAGATAGTGCTGATGATGATATAGATAATATGATATAGTGATGTAGATATAGTGATATAGATTATATAGATATAGTGCTGATAATGATAATGATGACGATGCTGATGACGATGCTGATGACGATGATAGTAGTGTTGATAAAAATAATGGTGCTGCCGAGTGGGTGAATGGTGGTTCAACTTGTGGTGATGATCACGGGGTGTCTTGAAGATCAGAATGGTGATGACGATGACGATGATAATGATGATGAGAATAATGATAGTAATGATAATGACGATGATGATAATGATGTTGTCGAAAATGGTGAAAATGATTATGATAACAATTCTTATAATAGAGATAGGAACGATGATGATGACGTTGATGATGGTGATGAAAAACTCACCCCAATATCGATGAGACCCTCTTCAATGTCATTTGGCAACGGGTGTTTGTAAATTACTATGGCTCCCTGAATCGTCATCATCATCACCATCATCATCATCATCACCATCATCATCACCATCATCACCATCATCACCATCATCATCACCATCATCACCATCATCATCACCATCATCACCATCATCATCGTCATCATCATCATCATCACCATCATCACCATCATCATCACCATCATTATCACCATCATCACCATCATCACCATCATTATCACCATCATCACCATCATCACCATCATCATCACCATCATCACCATCATCATCGTCATCATCATCATCATCACCATCATCACTATCATCACCATCATCATCACCATCATCACCATCATCATCACCATCATCACCATCACCATCATCATCATCATCGTCATCATCATCATCATCACCATCATCATCACCATCATCATCATCATCACCATCATCACCATCATCACCATCATCACCATCATCATCACCATCATCACCATCATCACCATCACCATCATCACCATCATCATCACCATCACCATCATCATCATCATCACCATCTTCACCATCATGACCATCATCATCATCATCGTCGTCATCATCATCATCGTCATCATCATCATCATCATCATCATCATCGCCATCATCATCATGACCTTGAACTTCCCGACCACGCGACTATCATCATCATCGGCGTCGTTGGTCTTCTTGCCCCTGTAGAGGTCGTACGTGTGCAGCCACTCCTTGAAGCCGTTGAACTCCGATTCCAAGTCGCTGTGGTAGATCTTTGGTGGATGAGTGAGTGAGTGAATGATGAATGAATGAAGGAATGAATGAATTTATGAATGAATGAACGAATGAATTAATGAATTGATGAATAAATGAACAACAAAGCAAATGAACGACGAAGGAATAAATAAAAGAATGTAATGAACGAATGAAGAAACATCTCCAGTAACCTTCAACTTGGCCCAATTAATTTTCTTCTCCTCTTTTCGTTTCTGCGACTTCGGCGACAACTTCGCCACTAAATTAGCCGCTTTCGACAGCTTCAGAGACGTCGACTTACTAACTGAAGTGGGCGAAGTAGCGGCATTGGCTGCAGTGTTCGTTTTATCGGGAGTTAAAAAAGAGTGGCAGCCGGTTATTTCGAGGTAGTTGTTGGAGGTCAGTTTTGTGGCGTTTGTTGTCGCCAGAGCTGTTGTGGTTGCTGCGTTTGTGGTTGCTGCGTAGTAGCTCATGTTGCTGCCGATGTTGTGGTTGTTGCTGTTCAAGGCCAAGTAGTTGCCTTCTTTTTAAAATGAGAATATAAATTTTTTGTCATTCATGATTTTTTTATTTTGTGATATTAAATTTAGACTTTTAAGTTTCAAGTTTTTACCAAGTTTTCCATTGCTTAACAATGATTGGTTAATTTTATTCGCGTCACTCGAATGTGATTGGTTGGGAGACGACAATTGTTGATTATCCTGACCAATCGTAGCTTCGCTTTCCTGAAATGAATAAACAAGTTAATTACAAATTAATTAATGAATACAAGTGAACTAAAACTGATACCTAAATTTAAGTTTAAATTTAGTCTTTTAGTTTAGAAAAAATTTAATTTATGCAAATTAGTCCTATTTTATGCAAATTAGTCCCTCCCCCAACCAATTACATCTCGACATAAGACAGAAGCGTGGTACTTGGTCCACCAATCAAGACCCTCCAGTTCAGTTTCGTCGTCTGATGAATGGGTGGAGGATCTTTTGCGTTTTGATGATGATTGTTGCGGTTGTTGTTGTTGTTGTGGTTTTTTAAATGTTTTTGTTGCTGACGATGATGATGATGATGACGTTTGTTTTACGTCGGAGTCTTTCAGTTTTTTCGTTTCGTGGGTTGGCTTGCCCTGGCAAGGGGGGGGGGTACGTTGAAGATGATGTCATTGTTAACACTATTAACTCTCGCTTATAATAATCATAATCATCATCGTCATCATCATCATCACCATCATCATCATCGTCATCCTAACAACCGTTTCTATGGTAACGATAGATTCGTGTTTAGCGATAAGGGGTAGTTTCTCATCTTCCAGCAAGACCAGCACATCACTGGTTCCTTTGAAAGCCGGTGACGTCATCGATGACGAAGTGATTGTGGCGGCGGCGGTGGCGGCCGTCGACGTCTCGTTAGTCCGATTGGGTAGCGAGTAGTTAGTGGGCGGTCGTTGTTGTTGGCTGCAGCTGCTGTCTGACAACATTTCTGTGGAGTGCGTGGGTTGATATTTTGTTGAATGATGAAAAAATCGCTATTACAAATTATTATAATGTCATTTGTTATAATTATAATTACTAATATTGTTATTAATATTAAATTTATTTTTGTTATTATTGTTGTTGTTATTGTTGTTATTATTATTATTATTGTTGTTGCAATTTTATTTTTAACGTGATTCACTCACCTTTTTGCGTCACATCCTTTTTGACCGCTGGACTGTAAATGAAGGTGCGAATGTTGTCGATCACGTGATTGCCAACTAGGACGAATCTGATTGGTTGAAAAGTTAGCTGAAAATTCAAAATATTTTATGTATAATATTAATAGTAGTAGTAGCAGCAGCAGCAGCAGCAGTAGTAGTAGTAGTAGTAATAGTAGTAGTAGTAGCAGTAGTAGTAGTAGTAGTAGTAGTAGTAGTAGTAGTACGAATCTGATTGGTTGAAAAGTTAGCTGAAAATTCAAAATAATTTATGTATAATATTAATAGTAGTAATAGCAGCAGTAGTAGTAGTAGCAGCAGCAGTAGTAGTAGTATTAGTATTAGTAGTAGTAGTAGTAGTAGTAGTAGTAGTAGTAGTAGTAGTTTGGTAGTAGTAGTAGTACGAATTTGATTGATTGAAAAGTTAGCTGAAAATTCAAAATAATTTATGTATAATATTAATAGTAGTAGCAGTAGTAGTAGTAGAAGTAGTAGTACTAGTAGTAGTAGTAGTAGTAGTAGTAGTAGTAGTAGTAGTAGTAGTAGTAGTAGTAGTAGTAGTAGTAGTAGTAGTAGTAGTAGTAGTAGTAGTAGTAGTAGTAGTAGTAGTAGTAGTAGTAGTAGTAGTAGTAGTAGTAGTAGTAGTAGTAGTAGTAGTAGTAGTAGTAGTAATAGTAGTAGTAGCAGTAGTAGTAGCAGTAGTAATAGTAATAGTATTTTAAGAAAAAAACACCAAATTAAATTCTACAGCGGCCTCAATAGAAAACATGGCACAATTGGCTCGCCAGGTCGAGCATAAAAATTAATTAATTCATTCATTTAAGTAATAAAATTAAGTCTGTTAGCCAACTGATGCATTGTCATAAAAATTAACAAAATAATCGTTCTCAAACTTTCGGTTCACTGAGTTATCGAGTTACCTACAACATTTTAAAACATATAAACAAATGAACAAATGAACAAGTGAACAAATGAACGAATGGTCAACGACAATAATAAAGACAATTTGTGTTATAAAATTAATATCTTCATGTTATTATTCAAATATTGGTTCATTCTTTCGTTTCTTCCTCAACTCTAACCTTCCGAAGTTTCTACAATCGAAGCAGCGGATTGTGATCGGGGGGCAGTAGAGGTCGTTGTCAGGTAGGTCCTTCATTGTGCAGCGTTCATCATTCCCATGTTAAACAAATTAAACTATCCAACTAATCAAAAACTCTATCCAGATATGAGCAAGATCAACCAAACGAATTTTACAATTTTTCACCAAAACCATCCAGCCAATCAGTTCTCAAAAACAATAAAATTCAATGATCCAAATCATTCATCCAATCAACTCAACCTTAACATTCATTCGAATGTTACCCCAACACAATGCAGCCAATCAGAAAAACAAAACTCTGTTACCTAAACCATTAAAAACAAGGTGACTATGTGACCGAAACCAAGCAGCCAATCAGAAAAACAAAACTCTGTTACCTAAACCACTAAAAACAAGGTGACAATGTGACCGAAACCAAGCAGCCAATCAGAAACGAAATAGCATTTTCACCAAAGACCAAAAGACCAATGAGAAACAAGGTAACTTACGACGTCTACGTATTTGATCGGCGCCGAGAAGTTGGGATTCCTTCTGCAGCTGCGAATGATGGATGATGAAATGATCTTCCCAGAACATTCCACGTCCACCCGCGGCTTCTCGACTGCCATGAACTGCACCCTTTTCATGTCCCTCACGCCCCAGAATAAGACCTTGGCATTATTATTATTATTAGTGTTATTATTATTTTTGTTGTTGTTATTATTTTATTATTGTTCGATATTAATATTTTTGTTGGTTTTGTCTTTGTTGTTGATGTTGCTCTTGAAATGGCTTGTTCCAATAGGATGAAACCGTTTTAAAACAATTTGTCAACCTACCACAATTCAGCAATCTTTCTTTATTTGCACCTTATTATAATTATTAGTATTGTTATTATTGTTATTATTATTATTATTATTATTATTATACCTCATCACTGCCAACCTCGATTCGGTGCGTACTCAGAGTAGGGCGAATGCCACGAGGTACAGGCATGCTGGATGACCTTGAGGGGTCAAGGACGATTGGAAGGTCACACGGGGGAAGGTCATCGCAACTGGACTCTCCGTGTGGGGCTAACTAAAAATTTTTTTTAAAAAGTGCCTCGGAAATTATGTAGTTGGTTTGTTGTTTTATTTTCTTTGTTTGTTCGTTTGTGTGTTCGTTAGGAACAAACACTTGTTCATTTGTTCATTCAGTCACAGTCATTCTTTTTTGTTCATTTCTCTACTCGTTCACTTAATTCTTTCATTCATTCAGACGATCATCCCTTCACCCCACCACCATTCCACCTACCAGTCCCCTTCATAAGAACCTGCAACAGTTCGAAGGCAGCAAGCAGCTCCCCCGCCCTCTCTGCCCCCCTGTACACATCGTGCCAACATAGTTTAGCCGGAAATTTCGGGGGTTCATACTTTTGTCTGTAACCTTTAACCACAGGGTATGCCACTGAATGACCTATGAACTCTGACTTGCCCTAATTGGTGATAAATAGGTTGTGTTAGCTAGCGAATGAATAAATAAACATGCAAACGAAGGAATGAATGAAATTTATTAACTTATTGATAAATTAACTTTTAAATGGATTATCAAATATAAGATTTGAAACATCCACCAACCACTCGATCCCTATCGAATATCTCCACAACTACTTCCGGCGGCATCTTCATGACGTCATCAAAGCTCGAAAAAATTCGCACATCTCTGAAAATTAACATCTCGTCCCAGCTGGGATTTAGTGTTTCGTCAATGACCCTGGTGACCGAACTTTCGTGGCCAAAGACGACGCGCGCGAAGGGGTCGGAGAGTCCAGTGTCGTCCGACCCGATGAGGCCGCGGGCCTGGTACATGTAGGCTCGCAGTTGGTAGTTTTGGCTGTCTGTTTAGTTCGAGGAGATGTGGATATATGTGTGTGTGTGTATGTTTGTGTGTGTGTGTGTGTATGTATGTTTGTATAAGTGTGTGTGTGAGTATGTGTGTGTGTATGTGTGTGTGTTTGTTTGTCTGTGTGTGTGTTTGTGTTTGTTTTTCTGTGTGTATGTTTGTATAAGTGTGTGTGTATGTGTGTGCTGTGTGTGTGTACGTGTGTGTGTATGTGTCTATGTGTGTGTGTGTGTGTATGTGTAATGTAGATGTAATTTAAATTTCCACTTTTGTGTGTGTGTGTATTGAAAAAATATCTGCAAATGAAAATATTCCCAAATCGATGGCCAACCTGTGTACTTGATAATACTTGGCGGTTTCGAGTCTGGTTTGGCGATATTTCTGATGAGGTTGCTAGTCTGGTAGCCAGATGGAAGGCCCTCGAAAACCTTCTTGCGGTGTTTCACCGCACCCAACCACAGGTAGACAGACAGGCGGGCCTGCGTCGTCCAGTAACTTGAGCCCTTCTTCTGCGGGGTCTGGGTAGATGTGTTCTAACTTTTCAAAAATGTTTTGCAAAATAACATCTTTATAGAAAATTAAAATTCATTTTTTTACTTATATATAGCCAACAATGATTTTCTCTATGACCATAAAATTGACATTGTTGTTTGATTGCTTTTTGTTGTCTTTTAATGCTATTTTGATATAGGCACATATAACTTACGTTTAAGCCCATTATTTTTTTTTTTATTTATATTTATTATTTATATTCAATAATTTTTACTATGTAATTAATTAATAATTCTGGCGATGATGACATGATAGCAAAAAAAAAATCGGAACGAATTTTATGAAAAACTTGTAGAAATTTTTAAATCTTAATTTTTCGTTTCGCCATCAAGACAGGCATGGAGCAGCTGACGATGCGAATGAGTTTGGAGATTACTTTTTAGATGAAGGATAAAAATTTTTCTTTCTTTCAATTCCATTAAAATCAAAAGTTTGAATTCTAGCGCTGATAACACGCACACGAAAAGACGCACGTACAAACACACACGTACACACACACACATTCAGGAAGCGTTTATAAAAAAGTCTATTGTCACGGCCAAACAGAGTTCGAACCTCGAGGTAACTAGCCAAAGTCTGACACTCTTACTGCCTGAGCTACCTCGTCGACAAATTTAGAAAAAAAACCAATCCTATTATTTTATTATAAATCTTTTTTCTCCATCCTACTTTCATGACGAGCGTCTGAAGTCTGCCACAGTTCGCCCCCTTTTCGTCATCCAGTGTGGAGTAGATGAGGCTGCTGGCGGTCAGCCGGTGGTAGGCGATTCTGAGTCACCGGTTGGAAGAAATTGTTAATTGATTAATATTGTAATTATAAAATTATGGTGATTGTATTAACTGTTGTGGAATTTTATGAAAAATTATGCAAACATTTGGTGTTTAATAATATTTAACAGATTGAATTAAATAATTTTTATCGCATCCATCTAGTCGTACCTTCACTTCTCTATCCATCCATTCACACATCCATCCATCCATCTATCCATCCATCCATCCATCCATCCGACCTTTTTTTATTTTGTACCATCCAGATGAAGACATCGGGGAGCGAGTGCTGGGGGTCGGACCTGACCTTCTTCAACTTCATTAACATATTGTGAACTATTTTTAACTTGTCCTTGACATTGGCCTGGTTGATCGTTGGCCTCAGTAGGCGAATCACGCTGGCCACGTTTTCCTGGCAATGATTTTGATGATGATGATGATGATTGTGATGATGATGTTGATTGTGATGATGATGATGTTGATTGTGACGATGATGATTGTGTTGATGATGATGATAATGGTGTTGATAGTGATGATGATGTTGATTGTGATGATGATGATGTTGATTGTGATGATTGTGTTGATGATGATGATGTTGATTGTGATGATGATGATAATGGTGATGAAGATGTTGATTGTGATGATGATGTTGATTGTGATGATGATGATGTTGATTGTGATGATGATGTTGATTGTGATGATGATGATGTTGATTGTGATGATGATGTTGATTGTGATGATGATGATGTTGATTGTGATGATGATGTTGATTGTGATGATGATGATGTTGATTGTGATGATGATGTTGATTGTGATGATGATGATGTTGATTGTGATGATGATGTTGATTGTGATGATGATGTTGATTGTGATGATGATGATGTTGATGATGATGACAGCGATACTGATATTGATTGCTGTGATTATCATTCAAATGATGATGACGATGATGGTAACGAAGACGATAAAAATGATTAGGACTACTAAGCACCACTTGGCCACGACACATCTTCAGACGCTCCCTGTCCAGACGTGTCTTCATCGTCGTTGCCACGACCTTGGTCGAAATCAGGGTCAAATATCTGCTACATGATTGGCTGACCGTCTCCAGAAGATATTTCAACTTCCGTTCGGGGTTTCCGGTTTTCATTTTTAGCATCTCGTTTATGTCGTTCGAGCCAGTTTCCTGGTTCAAATTGTTGAAATGTTACTATAATAATAATAATGATGATGATAATAATAATTATTATTATAATAATTTTTAATATTATTATAACGGTGGTGACAGAGTCTGCGGAATAATAACACAAAAATAACACAAATAATAATAATAATTAATACTAATAACAACAACAACAATAACAACAAATCAACAACAATTACATCAGCATCAACAACAACAACAATACTAATAACAATTTAACGATAAACTGACGATTAGCGTGATGATGTTCTGGATGAGGTTGGTGTTGTAGAGTCGGAACTTGTGGTCCTCGAAGAGGCCACTCGTGTGCACGCACGGCTTGTCGCTGTCGAACTGTGGCATGCTGTAGTAGTACCTTCAGGTTTACAGTATATTACGCCTGGTTATTATTTTTATTATTGTTATTATTATTATTATTGTTATTATTCTATTATTATTACTCATGAAAATTTGACAGTCAAGAATACAAACAATATGGCTATCTGTGGGGCCCAACTTCCAACTTAAACGTTAAATCATGGCTACAATTTGCTGATGACTTAGCAATCATAGCACATAGCTCAGAAGGCGCACAAAAACTTGTTGATTTAAACCAAGCTTGGTGCAATTGGTCAGAGATGGAGATGAGAGTCGATAAATGTTGTTCGTTTGGAATGAGAAAGAAAGATGGTACTTATGAGCAATTTCTGCCAAGATTGACGATCGACGATGTGGCAATCCCTAACGTAGAGATTGGCCAAGCGTTTACATAAACTGTATGATTTCGAATGCAACGACCTCAAAGCAAAAACTCTGATACAAGCTAAGGTTGTTCAACTGTTGGAAACAACTTCAAAGTTGAAAGTAGACCCACAGCAAAAACTACAAATTTTAAGAAATGTATACCGTCTCAATTGAACTTTGAACTCCGCAGCTACAACTTTTTGCTGACATGGATATCAGAGAACCTAGATAATCTGATTGTTAACGCTGTCAGGGAGTGGATAGATATGCCAATCAGCGGTTGTGTGTCTAAACTACTTTCTCTGCCAACAACAATGGGAGGTCATGGCATCATTTCATTAAAAGATGCGACAGAAAAACTGAGACTGAAAATTTGGAACTATTTTAAAACTAATAGCAACAAAGAGATTCAATGTCTCTATAAAGAATCAGAGATCGATTTTATCAAAGTAGATAATACGCTCTTAAAATATGGCCAAATAAAGTCGTCGCTTAGTCATTTGGAAGAAAAAAGAATTGAATGTAGCTTAAATCATGTTTTCTCGCTGCAGAGTCAAGGTTCACTAATTTCAAATATAAAAAATTTCATCAAAGCCAACAACATATCCCGTTGGTCAAAGTCCACGGAAAATCGTGCCGGAGTCCTCTACAAATTTGCTAGAAAGTATTTATTCCAGCAGTTGCCTACTAACGCAAATTTGTTTAGATGGGGTAAAACGCAAAGCCCTCAATGCCCTCTCTGTGATTCTCGACAGACAAATAAGCACGTAGTTTCTAATTGTGGTTCTACATCCGCTCTGGCAAGATATGCCGAAAGACACAACAGGATATTGGCCGTGATCATCAATTGGCTGAAAATATTCGCTCCAGCCAATTGCCGCATATTTGCAGATTTAGAGTCTGAGGGTATTCGCCCAATATCTCAATTATTCAACACTTTACGACCCGATATCGTCATACTTCAAAATAACAAAATTGAGATTCTAGAATTAACTGTGTGCCATGAAACCAATCTAGAATCCTCCAGGCAATACAAGAGAAATAAATACTCTAATAATTTGCATTGTTGTTTAAATAAAGACTATAAACATTGTTCAATAGTCATAAACTCATTCGAAATGACGCTTATTGGTTTTTACAATAATTTTAATTTGTCACTGTTTAAAGTTCCATGGCTGCTATCATTTAATGATAAATTGATAAACACTGTTATAAGATTATCGTATGACATTTACTGTGACAGGAACAAGCTATGATGCTAATTAAATATATTTCACCGTTCTGCTCTTAACTTCACAATGAGCAAAATGGTCTTAACCTTTAATATTATTTTATACAATTTTTACAAATTTTATCATTGTGCATTATTTAATTAACATTAAGTTATATATATATATATATATATATATATATATATATATATATATATATATATATATATATAAATTTATCATTGTATGTTTTCTTATGGTGAAAAATAAAAGATGTTCCCATTACTATTACTATTATTATCATTATTATTATTACTATTATCATTACTCTCATCACCATCATAGGTGGTAAACAGTACTAAAAGATACAATCAATATAGAGGAGGATGGCTACTAACTTATCCTTCGTGACCGGCACAATGCCCTCGGTCACACTGCTCCCCCCGAACCCGCAACCCACAACATTCCCGCCTTCATTTTTCTTTCCGCCATCTTTCTTCCCGCCATCTTTTTTTCCGCCATCTTTATCTTCCGTCATTGCTAGCAGCGGTTTCCTGTCGTGATCGCAGTCCGGATCGCTCTCGACTTGAGCTGCTTCTTTTGTTTCCGGTGAGCACGTGACCAAACTCTTTCTCGTTTTCGATGACGTCAACTCCCGATCGGAAAGCGGAAGTGTCGGCAGAGATGATGATGATGGCGGTGGCGGTTGTAGTGATGATGATGATGAAGAGGACGTTGATGATGATGATACCGGACACGGACCGTCTAAGACGTTGCCATAGTTTCCTAGCGATAGTGAAGACGTAATAATAATAATGAAATAAAAATATAATTATTATAATATAATAACACCAACAACAACAACAACAACAACAACAACACCAACAACAACAACAACAACAACACCAACAACAACAACACCAACAACAACAACAACACCAACAACAACAACACCAACAACAACAACAATAACACCAACAACAACAACAACAACAACACCAACAACAACAACAACAACAACAATAATGATAATAATGGGAACACCGCTTTTATTTTATCAAATATCACAAAATGAATATAAAGATAGATATAAAATAATGTTTAATATAATAAAGTATTTAAATTAATAGGCTGTTAGTCTAATTTGCTCATCACTGGACAAAAATGAGTACAAATAGAGGATTATAGTCAATAAAAATAAGGTTCATTCATTATTCCTATCGCAATATATTGAGTAAGATGATGATAACACAGAGTTTATTAAATTGTTTCTAAAATCGTTCGACCAAATTAAGTTGACCAGCGATAAATTAAAAGTATTGTAAAAACCTATTGTAGAAACTAATAATAATAATAATAATAATAATAATAATAATAATAATAATAATAATAATACTCTTTTATTTCAAGAAACCAATGACATTAAATATAAAAATAAAATACGGTCATTGTCAAATAATTAAATAACTAAATGCACTATAAAACCCTATCACTCAGTACTCAGGTGACATATTAATATTATTATATTATATTATTATATATTAATATTAATATGATATTTAAACGGTTATAAAATGTTTCTGTCGCGATAGATGGCGTATGTCGATTTAATTGTAGGATCAATTAATTTGTCAATAAAAGCAACAGGCCATGAAATATTAATTAATTGTGAATTGAAAGTATTAAAGAAGCCAGTTGGAGTAATTTCAAACGTATTTAAACTAATCGAACAGTTTTTGAAATCGGAAATTAAAGTTGAATTTAAATTGTTCTTCTACTTCGATTGTTTGAAGTCGAAGTTTCTGGATTGGATTAAATCTGCCTCGTGACCTACCGTCAACTCCATAATCTCAATTTTCTGTTTTGTAGGTTGGCGATGTCTGGACGGAGATTGGCGAACAGTTGCGACATTGGCAGGCAGGACTCCCTCCTTTTCGATGTCTGCAAATATCAGGCAACCCGTCGTTTGCACGATAGCAAACAATTTACGATCTTTGGCAATATCCTGTCATGGCGTTCAGTATAACGTTTCAAAGTGACTTTGAGGCAAGACGACGTGGTTTAACAGCTACTACTACTCTGCTAATCGGTCATCCTTCAATTTTTTTAGTGTCTGAGAAGTTGAGTTTGAAACCAAAAGCAAATTGTCAATCATCCTGAAGTCTACCGATGTTTCAATCCATGGACCGAGAATCTCAGCCTTTAAATTAGTCTCGAAGTAATCGCGCAGTTTTAATCTCAATCTCAACGCTTTGTCTCTCAGTGGAACAATCTTGTGGCCACCACTCTTTAATGGTGGACTCAGCATCTCTGATACACAGCCGCTTATGGGTATTGACAACTAATTTCTTGCTGCTTCCACAACAAGGTTATAACCAAGTTGTTGGCAATCCACATCAGAGAAACTGTAGCTTCGCAGCTCGAACTTCAATTGTGAGGAAATAAATCTTTTCAAGATTTGTAGTTTCATTTGCGTAGAACGTAGATCGCAAGAGTCGTGTTAATTTGGAAATCACCCCCTCTTTGGCTTTTGTGTCCTTTAGTCCTGAATCATAGACTTTTCGCCAGGTATTTGTATTCCCGATCCATTTCTACTGTTGGAATGGGCATGTAGTCTATTGTCAACCTTGGTAGGAACTGATCGTACGAGACATCTTTTTTCCTCATTCCAAATACACAGCACTTACCTGTCCTCATCTGCATGCCCACCATTTGCACCAGGCTCGTTGAAGTCATGCTCTAGCTTTCCCACCAGAGGTTGGACTCTAAAGATAACCGCACTGTTTAACCTCCTCATTTTCTAAATTTTTCATGAGAGGGTTAAAACATAGATTAAAAAATAATAATTAATAATAATAAAAATAATAATAATAACAATAATAAAAATAATTATAATAATATTAACAATAACAATAATAATAATAGACACGGGAGGGAGTCACTGAATGCAGATATCGAAATGATAGCAGCGGGCAATCGAACAAAGTGGCACAAGGCAGCAGCTGCAACTTCAGAAAGACGGGCTTCAACGTCTGACTCTCTGATGTCATCTCTCAATGACTCACTGATGTCATCTGTCGCCTGCCCACCAACCACGTAAAACAGGAAGAAACAACGCGGACTAATTTTCAGGTTGGGCTCTTGTATGTGTTTGTATGAGTGTGTGTGAATGTGTGTGTACGTGTGTGCGTGTGTGCTCTCTCTATATGCATTTATTTCTCTCTCTCTCTCTTTCTCTCTCTCTCTTCCTTTACATGTATAGCAATATTAGCCATAGTATATAATATAAACGATAAACATTAAACAACATCAATAAAAATAGTAGCAACCTAAGCTTATCTCGAAGCTGATTGGCTTGTCTGCCAGTTTCTTATCAATCATGTTTGCACTGAAGATGCTTGCAAACAGGAAGTACTCTTCCAAAGATCCTAAATAACTCTGATGGCGTGTTACGATAGTGACTGTGTTGGTGATCGTAATGATAATGATTGTGATAGTAATGCTGATGACGATGATGAGGAAGAAGATGGGGATGATGAAAACTTTATTTATAAAAATATCTCTATATTGTCAACAATAGTAGTTCATCAATTGAATCAGTAAGAAAATATACACACACAAAAACACAAACAAGAACATCTCTAAACACACACAGTCACACACACTCACACACAAAACCACAAACTTCGGGCACGGGCAAACACGGGCCAACGTCCACGGTAGCACCATACCCCCCTGCAGCACTTCCTGGCGGTCCACTGGATATCACATCCACCCCCAACTCCACAAGCTCGACCCGGAAGGAAATCAAAATGCGCCCCCGGTAAGCAAAACCGGCGGTTATCCCTTCGTTGAGGTGGGCATACTCGTCCACGATGTTGTAGGGGCGGAATGAACCGTAAAGATTGACCCAACTAGGTCCAAATGTTGGTAGAAACCCTGTTTGATAGGTTGGTTGGTTGGTTGGTTAGTTGATAGGTTGGTTGGCTGGTTGGTTAGTTGGTTGGTTGGTTAGTTGTTTAGTTGGTTGGTTGGTTAGTTGTTTGTTTGGTTGATAGGTTAGTTGATAGGTTGATTGGTTGGTTAGTTGATAGGTTGGTTGGTTGGCTGGTTGGTTGGCTGGTTGGCTGGTTGGTCGGCTGGTTGGTTGGTTAGTTGGTTGGTTGGTTGATTGGTTGGTTGGTTGGTTAGATGGTTGGTTGGTTGATAGGTTAGTTGAATGGTTGGTTGGTTGGTTAGTTGATAGGTTGGTTGGCTGGTTGGCTGGTTGGATGGTTAGTTGGTTGGTTGGTTGGTTAGTTGTTTGGTTGGTTGGTTGGTTGGTTTGTTGGTTAGTTGGTTAGTTGGTTGGTTGGTTGGTTGGATGGTTGGTTGGTATGTAAATATGTCGTTCAATAGGCTAATTGATGATTGGTTTGTTTGAAATTTGTTTGCTGGTTGGTTATATTGGTAATTAGGTTGGTTGACTGGTTTGTTGGTTATAGGGTTGAATGATTGAACAAATGATTGCTTTGTAGACTTTATAAATTAGTGAAAATCATGAAAAAAGTGAACAGACAAAAGCGAAATTGATTGCATATGAAAATATGTAATTTTTTTTGTTAATCTTTTTCATCATCTTCACCATCACCATCCCCACCAATACACCATTACACCATAATCATTCTCATCATCAGCATCACACCACCATCATCATCAGCATCACACAATTATCACCACCACCATCATCATCACCATCATCATCATCACCACCATTCATTCCGTCATTAGATATGGAAGCCAGATCTAAGAAATGAGTGGCGATGATGTCATCGTTGACATCATCATTCCGGACTTGAAGCTTGACGCGACAACAAAATGGCGGGAACATCTCTGTGAAGGCCACTTCCTCATTCCAGACTGGATTGTAACGGCCTTTCTTTGTGGACGTTCGCCCCTGCAATTATTACTACAATAATTATAATAATTACAATTATATAATATATAATAATAATAATTATTATTATTATTATTATGTTATTATAATTATGTCTAAATACCTTTTTCCCGGCAAATGAGACTTGTACGTAGGGGTCCACCAAATCTTTCACCTCCCCTGTGATTGCCTGCCAATCAATTTTTTTTACAATTCTCTCTTTAGAATTTTTTAGAGGATTCAACATTCTATGTAAAGCCGCGTGAATCAATGTTTATAATGCACATTGCATAGGTGGGGTCTCTTTGCATTCGAATCCAGTCACTGCCAGGCATCTTAATTTTAACATTGCGCCGCTAAAGTAACTTCAATCATTCAACCAACCAACCAACCAACCGACCGACCGACCGACAAATCAACCAACCAACAAATCAACCAACCAACAAATCAACCAACGAGTCAACCAACCAACCGACCGACCGACCAACCAACCAACCATCCAATAATCAACCAACTAACAACCAACCAACCAACCAACCAACCAGCCAGCCAACCAACCAACAAACCAACCTTCTTAACGTTAGCCATAATGCCAGTATTCATCCTGGGAAATCCCTCCCCTCTGTAAATAGCGACAATGAACCTGGCTCGCTGCCTCTCGACCGGACTGTTGTTCGGAAGCAGAAGGTTTCTGAGAAGTGTCCAGTCCAATAAATAAATGATCGAATGAATGAATAAATAAATTAATGGAAGAATAAATGAATAAATTAATGAATGGATGAATTGGTGAATGGGTAGAAGAATGACTGAATAAATGAATAACAGGATGTATAAATGAGTAGATTAATTAATAGAAGTATGGATGAATAAATAAATGAATGGATCAATAAACGATTGGCAAATGACTGGATGAAAATAATTAAAGTAATTAATAAATGAGTCAAATAATTAAAGTTTTTTTTTCATATAAAATTAGTTTAGAATGAAAAAAAAATGAAAAAAAGAAGGAAAACGAACAAACAAACAAAAGTGTGAACCAGTGAATGAACATTTGAATGAATGAACGAATGAATGAATGAATGAATGAATGAATGAATGAATGAATGAATGAATGAATGAACGAACAAACGAACGAACGAACTACCGAACAAACAAATGAATGAATTAATTAATGAATGAATTAATTAATTAATGCCGGAAAACGGATGAACAAAAGTATGAAACTAACGATTCAATATCATCATCATCAGCGTTTGATTTTTTCTGGGGTACCTGTTTTAAGAAGGAATTTAATTTACATCACACAAACAAAATATTATTATATAATTATTTTTTATTTTTTGAATAATAATAATAATAATAATAAATAATAATAAATAATAATAATAATAATAACAACAACAATAACCTTGATCTTGTCACCCTTCCCAAAGACGGCTATGTCACATTTAACGTAGCCCTTGCACCCCCCCGTCACATCGTCAGGGTCCGTGAGGACAGCCCATTTGTGGTAAAAGTGGTGGTCTGTGCGTGTGTGTGTGTGTGTATACACATGTGTTCGTGGGTGTGTACACGTGTGTGTATGTATGTGTGTTGTGTATGTGTTGTGTAGGTGTGTGTGTTGTAGGTGTATGTGCGTGTGTGTGTGTATATACACATGTGTTTTTAGGTGTGTAAATGTGTGTGTATGTGTGTGTTTGTGTGTGTGTGTGTTGTAGGTGTGTGTGTGTGTGTGTGTGTGTGTGTGTGTGTGGCGTCAAGTCTAGTGTGTGGTTTGGGGAATGCGGTTTTATAAATACAGATTTTACTGGATTGTGGTCGTGCGAATGGCGCGGTTTTGATTATTAAAATTGCAAAATATAAAATAAAAACTGAGTTTGAAAATGTTTTCAAAAAGTTTTTTAGCTATGTAATATGTTTGTAACAATTTAGTGGTTTTGGACGCTCTGTAACAAGCTTTTTTTCCTACGCAGACCGTCATTTCAAAACTCTGATCGATCGAAACGCTGAATGTTTTGAAAAGCTTTTTAAATAAGAAAGATGGTGTGAGATGTGATTAGTCCGACGTTGTATAGATATGACGTTAGTTCAGTGAAACAAGCCCATTCGGCAAAGTCTTAATGGAAATGAACTTGTCACCAATAAATTGAAGTATTACACTGAAGTGCAAACTCCACATATTAATGTTGTTGATTCGCCATCAGGTCAAAGTTTCTTAGCAGAGAGTTGGTTCTTCACTGAGTTGGTTCTTCTGCAGAGGTGATCGAGTTTGAAGCCAGGTAGATGGATGAGATGATCTTCATCAAGAGAAATTGTGGGTTGAATTAATGCGTATACCTATTTCAAGATTAGTTTATCACCTTATTTGCCAACAGTTCTTCTGACAATTTTTTGTTGTGTAGTTTGATAGTGTTTTCAATTAAGGCGGTTGTGGTTTTTAATTGGGGCGGCGGTAGTTTCATTTGGTTGCAGTTATACAGTATCAGGCTGAGTTTTTGTGAAAAGTTCCGACGCGCCGTGCCTGTCAGTCAGATCTCCATCAATTCAAAATCAATCAATTGTTCAGTCGATCGGTAAATCAGCCATTCAGTTAATCAGTCAATCAAATAATCAGTTAACCAGCCAGCCAGCAATCCAACCAACCACCCAACCTGAAATCTAACGAACCATCCAACCAACCACTCAACTAGAATTCTAACCAACCAACCAATCAACCAGCAAACAATCTAACCAACCAGCCAACCACCCAATCAAAAATCTAACCAACTAACTAATCAATCACCCAACCTGAAATCTAGCCAACCAACCAGCCAGCAAACCAACCAACCAGGAGCATCGTACACAGTGCCAACATCCAACTTGAAACTCCCAATCTTCGTGCCTGATCTCAAAATGTTCCGCGAATGTAAGACCTGTTTTGAAAATTATAATTCATATTTATTGCCGTTATTATAATAATAAAATAATAATTATGAATATAATTATCATCGTACAACAACAACAACACACGCACCGATATTGTTATCATCTTGTCCAAAAGGACTGAGGCAATGATGTGGAAATCAAAGACGAAATACTGGGGGGGGTTTAGAAAATATTATACATTATTATTAATTTTTTTTTAGTCTTTATTATTGCAGCTCTGACATACCCAAAACCACTTACAATGTTGCATATATAGATTATGTTATTATATTATTAGTATAATAATAATAATATTATTAATATTATAATCATCATTATTATTGCTACTATTATTACTGTAGTGATACCAGAGCCATAAATGTTATTTGCATCACCGTGCTTTCGAACACGGTCACTGCGAAGATGGTGCAGGCGCCTTTAACCGCTTCGCCACCGAGTTATACATGATTTGGTCACCTCAGTGGCAACGTCCACAACGACGGCAAAACAGTTGGACGAAATTTAATTAATTAATTAATTAATTAATTAATTAATTATGAATATGTAAATGAATTATAGACGATAAATTATGAAATATAAAATAATTATTGGGCGATGAATTATAAAATGAACTATGATTGAATTATGGATAATTAATAAGTACTCCATGCAACATTTTGAAACACAAATTGTGATAAAAAATTATAATGAAAAACTGTAATAAAAAATTATGCAGACGATAAATTAAAAAAAAAATGAATTTTTAATTGAATGAAATTACAAAATTATGAAAGTATGAGTTAAAATCCAATCCCAACAACAACAAACAACAACAACAACCACAACAACAACAACCACAACAATATCGACACAGCAACAACAACAATATCGACACAGCAACAACAACAATAACCATAACAACAACAACAACAGCAACTAAACAAAACAACAAACGAACAGCAACACCTCATTAAAATAGGGGCAGTTGGTGGACTCCTTGACAGAGGTGTACTTCCTCTGGTCCCCCACCTGCACGCACACCACGGGGTTCATGTTCACCCCCGACAACTGCCTCGCCTCAATTATCGTCACTGACACCTAGCGTATAGGAACGAAATCGCAAAAAACTAATAACTGGGTGACAAGATTGAAGCAAATTGTTCCTGAGAAAGATTTCAGAAGAGAGTTAAAAAGTTATTTGTTCAACGAAGCATTTAATCATAGTACAATCCTCTGAGGCATGTCAATAGAGTGAATAACATAATAATAATAATAATAATAATAATAATAACAATAATAATAATTATAAATTATGCTATTATAATGATATGTGTCGTAAATATATGGCGAACTTTCAGATGATGCAACAATGATGGAGGTGTAAGAAGTGCTGGTGTGAGAAGTTTTCATTATAAAAATTTATTACAATTTTTTATCATAAGTTTTTAGATTTTTTTTCTGCTACAGAGTGTTTGTTAATCATTCATCATGATTATTATGTTCATCATCATGATGATGATGATGTTGATGATGATGATGATGACGACGATGATGATGAAGATGATGATGATGATGATGATAATGATGATGAGGAGAAGGAGAAGAGTCATGATAATGATAATGATGATGATGAGAGTCATGATGATGATGATGATGATGATGATGACGACGATGATGATAATGATGAAAAATAGGGAGGCGGCACGAAGACGCTTGAATAATGATGATGAGAAGTAGCGAAAAATATTAAATCGTATGAGTTGGAATGATGAGGATGATGATGATGATGATGATGTTGGTGATGATAATGGTAATGAAGACGACGAGGATAATATTGATGATACCGATAATGATGATGTCAATTATAAAGGCGATAATGATAACGATTATATAGTAGTAGTAGTAGTAGTAGTAGTAGTAGTAGTAGTAGTAGTAGTAGTAGTGGAATCAGTAGTAGTAGTAGTAGTAGTGGTAGTAGTGGTAGTAGTGGTAGTAGTAGTAGTAGTAGTAGTAGTAGTAGTAGTGGAATCAGTAGTAGTAGTAGTAGTAATAGTAATAGTGGTAGTGGTAGTAGTGGTAGTAGTAGTGGTAGTAGTGGTAGTAGTGGTAGTAGTAGTAGTAGTAGTAGTAGTAGTAGTAGTGGAATCAGTAGTAGTAGTAGTAGTAATAGTAATAGTGGTAGTGGTAGTAGTGGTAGTAGTAGTGGTAGTAGTATTGGTAGTAGTAGTGGTGGTAGTAGTAGTAGTAATTCACGACACATAAATAATAATCAATGAGGCCGACGATGAGGACGATGATGCTGTCATAAAACCTCATAATGAAAAGTTGCCGGCAAGTGAAAAAAAAAAAAACAAAAAAAATTTAATGAAGAAAAGATGGAAAGAATTTCGCGGCTCGTTCTATAATTAGGAACTTCTTTTATTTATTCATTCAATTGTTCGCAATTTTTTTTACTTCATTCTTTATTTTTTTTCATTCATTTATCTTTCATTAATCGCTCTTCATTCGTTCATACTTGCTATCATTCTTATGTACACTCAACAAGAATTTTTTTTTTTAATTTTTATTTAGTTGAATATTTGTTCTTCATTATGTTTGCCTCTTTGTTTGTCATATAAATTCAACACGCATTCTAAATTTGTGTGTTTAAATTATTTTTTAATCAATTTATTTTTCATTCTTTCATTCATTTCACCCAATATTCATTTCATCCATTCGTATGTGTATTCACTCATTTGTTCCATTGTTTGTATATAACTTTATACGCCTTTCTAAATTCGGGGGTCTAATAATTTTTCTACTAATTCATTCATTCATTCATTCATTCATTCATTCATTCATTCATTCATTCATTCATTCATTCATTCATTCATTCATTCATTCATTCATTCATTCATTCATTCATTCATTCATTCATTCATTCATTCATTCATTCATTCATTCATTCATTCATTCATTCATTCATTCATTCATTCATTCATTCATTCATTCA